AATCATACAAATATTAATTCTGTAGCTTTGATGCTATTTATGCGCAATGTAATGTACATCTTATTATGATACGTTACATCAAAGATGAAAATTACTTTAAATTAATATAAGCTTACGTCATAGATAATTTTATCACTTATTTGCAGGTATTAATATTATTTTTATAGAATTAGAACAACATGATGATGTATGCAATGATGTCATAGAACGTCGTAAATTATTCGCGAACAGAATGCGACATAAGCTGAGCTTTATGTGTGCTATAAGGGGCTCGGCGCTGTAATAAATTATGGTTGAATAAGTCTTTCAATTCACTACTTATTAGAGCAAGAATTAGCATAGCCAGCCTTTCAAAGGTTGACGAACATCCGTAATTTATTTAGAATACATCAACATGATCCCTTGTGATGATGTTATAAACATTTTTAATCATGAGTAAGTAAAAACGACATAGACTGTGTATTTTTGTATACTAAGATGTATTCGGTAGTAAATCGTAATTGAAGTAAGTAGTTTAACACATTATCTATTAGAATAAGAGTTGGCACAGCAAGTCTTCCAAAAGTTGACTATCATCCATAATTTATTTGCAATAGATTTTACAAGCATCTGGATGCTTTATGTTTATCATACAATCTATCAAGGAGATAATTGAGAGATGCACGTTATAGATGATTACATTCTGTGAGACTTTGTTTACTTTATATTAGTTCCTTGATATATACAATAAGAAGAAATTAAACGCCAGCTAATGATGCGTAATATAATTGTATTCAAGAATCCATAAATAGATATGCATAGTTAATGGTAATTAATCGATTAAGATGATGATGTTGCAGTGACATAGACTATTCTTCCTGTTAGACCATAACATAATCATTTTCTGACGACGAGGTCATGCTTTTTTCAAGATCTATAATCCCGTGCTTTATATGAACTGGGTGCAGAGGCATATTTGACTTCATTTTGAATTAGTGTTATCTAGACGCGTACTTTATAATTTTGTAGCGCATGGCGTTTACATAGCAATGTTGAGAGGTCCGAAATAGATAACAGAAAATTAAATAACAGTATCACAGTAAATAGGTATGACTAATTTATCCAGGAAACAGAAATGGCGTATTTCGGGGAGGCTCATTAGCTATTTACGCGCATCTGTTATCATAATGACTTCATCATTAACGTAAATTTGTTCAGTTATGACTATGACAATGATTTGCAATATCATATGATCATACTTTGTCTGGAATTTGAACAATTTTCTATTTTATTCAAGAAGTAATAAACGTAATTATTTTTGATTTGATATTATATAAATTTTTTATTCTAAGGGAATCAAAAATGTCTATTTTGAAGTGGTATGCGATGACTAAGGTATTGTTAATTCATCAGCTGCTTTAATTTACGTTAAAGGTTAACTATTTTATGACATCATCACTTCAGTATATATTCGTACACGACAAACCTGATGTGTAATAGCATTGGCTACCGTTGATATTTATCACACCATCGCATTCTCTTGTCATGAATGATCATGCTACTGTTGGGGATTACAATTAAATCTAATTAATGTCGCCGATATCACATAGTATTTTAAATTTAGTATGCAATTAATAGCGTAGTTTCCTTTTATTCAAAAGTTACGATAAAAGCTAGTATCTTGGACAATAACGTTATTTTTTTCATAATTACCAGTAAAAATAGGTCTAACCATAACGTTTATTACCTTTTTTGGGTCTGATAATTAATTAATCAAGTCAGATTTCCCAAAGCATATTTAATAATATACCTCCAAGGATAGAACGCTTTCTGATAACTTTACCGTATTTGGTTTAACCTTTGACATTAGCTGTCATTACGAAATAGAACAATACAAATTCTAAATAAAAAACTGCTAAAGTTATTCATAGTATTTTTTGAGCTAAACGAACAACAATGATTTGAATTCCGGCTATAATTTCCTAATCTACTTTAGCAAATCCTTACTGGTGTTTTTACCAGGATTCAACATTACAGAGTGTACATTCCGAGTAATATTATATCGTATTGCTAAAATTACCCCTTTGGCTATAAAGTACTTTGTACCTAGGATTGAATACAGGCTTTTGGGGGTAAATAAAGACTAAATTTTAAAAAATAGGTGTGAAATGACATCACTAGCATAGAATAATTGATGATTTAACCAGATGTTATCAATTTTATTAAATTTTCTATTCTAATAAATGGTGAAATATGTGAGTATGTCATTTCGTAACAAAGACTATTAAATTTTTTAATTTAAAAATTAGACTCCCATCGTTCATGCAGAAGGTCAGATTACAGTAAACATTGAATATATGAATTAAAAATTTTAATGCAGGTATATTCGTAGTGCATTACCTCATCACTTATTGAAAATTCGTTAACATTATAATTATCCCTTCAATTTGTAGCATTCAAGCCGGCTTATCTCTAAATGATATCATTAAGTCATCTGCTTGCTTCATTTAAATTGATTGCATTATTTCACAAAGACTAAGGAGAATAAAATATTTCATTCAAAGATATAAATCTCTGCCAAATTTGATATTAATTAATGAAATGGTATTATTAATGTGGCTAAGTGTACATATCATATATCAGCTATACGTATTTACGTATCTATCATATCTCTTTTTAATGACTAAGTTACTCTGTAATCGATTGCATCATATCAGAGTAAATAATATGTGTAACTGAAATTTTTTAATTAATAAAGTGTGAATGTAAGCTAAATTATGCGCAAAATAACATCATTAACTTAAGACTACTATACACATTAACATCAGTTCTATATTACCTTAAATGTGTAGACATCTACATTAATTAAAATGAATTTTGTTAACTTCATAAATAACAAGCTGAAAAAATTTTAAATCAGAGTTATAAATATAAGTCAAATCGCTTACGAAGTAACCTTAGTAATGTAGCTCAAAATATGTATATGAACGGGACCGGATGCGAAATCGGTCATTTTGCAAACTGTCCATATTATCTCATTTCAATTACTGTGATAATTGATTGCGTCTTATTACCGTAAATAATAAGTGCAAACGTAATTTTTAATTAAGATGTCACTAAAATTGTATATCAAATGGCATCATTAACATGAAGCATTTATTATACATCAATATCAGTTCAATAGCACCTAATGTAGATTGTTACATTATAGTTGGTTGTACTTACGTTATGAGTAACGAATTTTCAATTAGGATTATAAATTTAAGTTAAAGTACTTTTAAAATAGCATAAATATAGCAAATATACAGATCATATATGGGTAATATTTACTTATCTGCCTTGCTTCACTCCAATGACCACGTTATAATCAGTTGCATTATATTATTAAAAATAATAGGTGTAAAAGAATTCTTTAACTAAGGTGTGAATTCGAGACAAATTATACGTAAAATTGCAATCATTAACATAGAAAATTAAAGGTATCAACATCAATTCAATCTTACTTTATTTAGACGATTACAGTACTTTGCGGTTGATCGTAATAGTTTCAAAAATTGCAAGTGTAGATGAAATTTTAAAGTATGAAACTAGCTTAAATTGCTTATGAAATGGTTCTAAAATACCGTGTTATAATAATACTATTAGTAGAACCAAACATAGCCACGTTAAATCCTTGATATGACTCGAAAAAATAAGGAAAATGACTTTGTTTTGTACATTAATTTATTATTTATCATCATGTCTCATCATTTGGAATATTTTTTTCATAGCAGTATGCACATTACAAGATAGGAGATCATAGGATATAGCGATGAACTAATTTATATAACGTCTTTGAACTTATGGATAGCGATATTATCACTCTTCATTTTTGGTGATAATAATCAATCCCATTTAAACTGTGTTAAAAAAATTGGAATAAGCTAGCATATAGAACTACAGTATTTCTGCCAATACAGATAACAAATGCTAATTTGGTATAAGAATCTTATATTTATGCATGAATATATTGCCTAGCTTTCAATTTAATAGGACATAATGCAAAGGTAGTATCGATGACAGTAGTAACATTTTGAAATAGATAGTTTAGTAAAAATAAACACCAATTTAACTTTAATTTATTCGTTATTATAGTACTATGAATAACATGGAAAAATCAATATCGACAGTAGGAAATATATACCTTATATGTGTGCAACTACGGCATCAATAGTGCTTTGATAAGTTTATACTTCATTTTAATGAGGATTGTTATTTAGTTACAAGACGCAAGATATTGAAAAATTGCATTTCATTACAACTTTGATTGACTTTACTTGAGTAATTGTATCTGGTCGTATATATCACGCCAATAGTTTTAGCTTATATACGCTTATATGAATATATATATACACTATACATATATATCCAATTAGGTAGACTATTATTAAGATGGCAGTAGATACTATATTAACTGTATCTACCTTCGATTGCTTCCTACTTTTGTGTTAGTAGCGCAACTTAATCATGTTCTAAACGATATTGCATCAAATTTTGGGTTAAATAAATATATTATCTTGAATTTAAAGACGTCACCGAACCCTTCTAGAATTCAGTGGATTGGAATTACACAAACTAGTCTTGCAATAATACAATATTTGAATATTCTTAACTTATATTTAGTTTGCCTACATCGGTTAATATCGCTTTCTGTTTGTATGAAAACTTGTCAATTAGCCATTACTTGCTTCTACTCCTATGTTGTATTACATTACAGTTTTCTCTAAATTTAGAACTTTCAAAGAATCCTTTTGGACAAGCTTTAGTACAATGCTTGATATCACTTCCTTCTTGTATGAAAACTTGATTGATCAATCATTACTTGCTTCCATTTTTGTTCTAATTATATTGCACTTTACTGTAGATTGGTATCTAGAGCTACTAGATACTTCTTCTCGACAAAATTGAATGAATCGGTAATTTCACTTCCGATTTGCATGGAAAGTTTGTCGATCAGAAATTTTTTGCTTCCGCTTTTGCACTTATTGCATTGTAGTTTTCTCGAGGTTAATATCTAGGGCTTCTAAGTATTTCTTTTCGACAAATTTTGGAACAACAAACCATCTAGAAAAAAAAATGGTTCATTTTCTTAGTCATAGAGCAATAGTCGATCATTATCATAAATTTAAATCACAGCTATACAATAGAGCAATTAAGAGAGATCAGCTTTACCCTCTCCTGAATACAGAAAAACTACATTATATTCTCTCTATCTTGAGATAGTTTTAAAGTGATACGATATCAATCTTCTATAAATCATAATGAACTCAGCATTAATTATATACACTACCTGAATGGGACTAAACCAAAGGTGATGATTGGAAATATTAGTTTCAAGTATTTAAATGGTGAAAAACTAACAGTACATAGAATGGCCAATTGAAGAACTTGTGTTATAGTAAAGATATGAATTTTTCGTTGGGGCACTCTCCTTATATAATGTGCTGGAGGATAGGCAGCCTAAGATTTAGAGAAAAGAAAAATAGCTTATGTTGATTAATAACGTCTTATTTTCTTCTGGCATATATAATGATATCATAATTATAATATAAATTGGATACCAAATGAGATGCTATGCAAGAGCCTTACTTGTTCAGTTACTAATAGCGCAATACGTTCAAATAATTGATTGTTTTTTGTGCCAATCAGAGACATATAAAGGAAGAGGCCATCTAATACACCCAGAGGGATCATTTGAATAGGAATAGGCAATAATAAAAAAAAGGATAATGCAATCAGCAGATGAGATAGCAGAGCTGCTGTTCTTGTCTCTCTGACTCTGGTAATTCTGTTGATTAGAATCATAGAAAAATTTAATAATAATGCAATAACTTATTTAAGTTTAGTTAAATAGGTTTTGATATCTATTCTAAAGTTGCATTGTAAAGCAAAAGTACCAATTATTTTAATCTACTATCATGGAACTATTAGCTGTATCTAATGGATATTGCTGAAGTATTCCTTAAATCTTTATAGTGAATTAATCGTTAGGCATTACAATTTAAAAACAGTTACAGTATCACTTCTATGCTAGATTTAAAAATAGCTTCTGCTAGAAAACTAGTAAAGCCATACTTTTCATGAATACGTCCTTGATCAACTCTTTGCTCAACTTCTGCAAGTGCTCGCACATGCATTGGAGAATGAGGTAATCCTCCATGAACCCAAGGTAAACCCATAATGGATAACATAAGGTTAATAAAAGCTAAAACCAATAGGTCAAAATGGTATGCTGGGCCTTTCTTTAAACTACAAAAAATGGAATCTCGTATAAATTGTCACAAGCAACATTAAATTATGGTCCTATTAGCTAGAAATACTTCATAACTCTTACTTATTTGTAGAGCTATTAATAATTCCACTAGTGATGTTGAGATCCATGAAGAAGAGTAAAGAAAGTGGAAATCCAAGTCCCATGGCAGCAAAAACATTTGCAACTGTAACACTTTTCATGTTAGGTGCAGTTATTAACGTATCGTTGTAAAAATTGAATTCTTCAACTATATTATCATTTCATGGATGGAATTCAGGATAAATTGGTCCGGAAATGGCCAAGAAAGTTTTAAATAAAATTTCATACATTAAAATTATATATTCCTAAGGATTTTTAGCAGCGTTGATTGCATCTAAGCTGCATGTATTATTGTTAATCAAAAGAACTATAGTGATTTCGGTTACAACAGGTCGAATATACTTATATTTGGTACTAGAGAATTGTTTGTTTGATTTATATAGATTGATTAAAAATGGTGTGCAGACCGATAAAAAATTTTAGATTCCTATTTTCATATTGATATTCAAAAGTAATTTGAACTAATACGATCTATCGGTATTAAAACTATATAGCTCACCTCTGATTTCACTAAAAGCAAACGACTTGACTAAAGTAAATATTAAGACCGATATAGCCAAAGAATAGTCGGAGAGAAATTCTCTCTTATCTGCATCAAATAAAGGACTGGAAAAGAAGAATATAACAATGCGTGTAAGTAAGGCTAAATTTCTCTAGTTAAAAGCGCTTGATTCTAGTATTAGGAAAGATTGATGATTTTTCATTTTTGTAATCTCTATAAAATACTGTATTGCCATCGCGAATTTCTCAATAATCGCTTAATTAACTGAATGGCAATCAAAATTGTATAGAATTTCTTCTTAGAGTGTTATACAAGCACCAAATCTAAGACGATACCTTCTTCGAAAATTGTGCAAATATATACCAAGCCATACTGTACCCAGCATTAAAATTAAGAAAACCAAACTACTATCACGTCGACAGAGGCTCAATGAACCTATAGATTCAAGTAAATTATCCGAAGCTGCCGAAACATTGATAGAAGCAAAAGAATTATTACATCCAGGACCGAAGTAGTTCTTTTGAAATTCTAGCATTGGGTCGATATCGATTTTTACAGCATTAGTCATGTTGATTTGGAATATCGTGAAGCTAAGTTATTAATCTTATTTAGTCTATCTCTCTTATAGTAATGTGCTCATATTATACTATATTACAGTAAGCGTTATTTATCTAGTAGCTAAATAATTTCGTTATCGTATTGCGATAGAACATAAACTCTGAGCAGTTGGAAGATTTGAAGGATATCGTAGGCATTCTAAAGTAAGCATTACTTTTCTTACAGCTAAATAATATCATTATAGAGTAACCAAGTAGGGTGAATTTTCAATAATTAAAAAATTGGAAAGATTCGTAAATTCTTACGATTTGATAAATCGCGAAATGCATCGACTGCGAGTGTAATGGCCACAAATAAGGAAAAGATTTCAACAGTGGATCTAGAAATTTGATTTATGCATCATTGATAAGAACTTTAAGCTATGGAAATATTTTCTCGCATTTTAAAAACTAAGTAAAAGTCTTTTACGTAAGAAAAAATAAGGGTTACAGCATTTTAAATCTACAAGTACAGCTATAATTAGATGTTGGAATTTTTACTGACCTTGTCGACCATTTCATTACAGAACTAACGTTAAATACGGAGTAAAGTATGAGATAGATAGAACACCAAATGCCAGTACAAGCATACATTGCACGAAAATCGATATCAAATTCGACGCATATATCATAAATCACTAAATACAGTGGAGAAGAAATGAAGGATATGATGAAATAAAACTTAGAATTCTCTCCAATTTGACACAGAAACTGGTCACTTAATAATAAAATATAATGCTGAGTAGCCAATGAAAATTCTAATATTCGTATTATAAAAATTCTATTTAAAAGCAAATATATCAGTAAATAAACCTAAGATTGCATAATTATTGCAAGTTTGTCCAATCTATCCATGTTGTAATTATCAGGTTAGGGAAAAATATTAACAAATCTGACTATAGCTCGTTTTTCCCACATAAGTTAAGATAAGTTAAGATTGGATGGCCATTATAACTTTATCCAATCTTATGGAATTTTAATATCAGAGTAGGCAAAATACGGTACTATGTTAGAATATAAGCAACAACGGCTGTAGCGTATATTTCATATACATGTATTTAGTACGATTTAATGATTACTATAACCTTATCCAATCTAGCAATATAGCAAATATCAGAGTAAGCGAAATACTACTACTCTAAAGTGTTATTTTAATATTTGGAAATTGATGCTTAATTGCTACTATAAAGTAGTAGCAATATTAATATAACTTACATTTCATATACAAGGCGATCGGCGCTGTCGTTAGCAGAATGATCAATGGCTGCCCACCGAAAAGAGCGAAGGTTAATCCTGCAATCACTTGACCAATTAATGTTCGCCTTACATCTAAGCCATTTGAAAAAGAATGAAAGAGAAATTTTCAGTATAATAATAGGTCATCAATTTATTTAAAAAAATGAAATTGAATACGTGACAGGATGCATGATTGGAGAAAGGAAAGTATTTACATAAATAATAATTTTTAGTTTAATTTCAGATAAACATCAATATAGTAAAGAAAAAAAAGAATAACAGCATTTTATAATTCATTTATCCACTAACTAGTCTAAAATATTGTGTAGTCACGAAGGAGAGACACAATCATAAAAATAGCGTTTATTAAATTAGATTGTATCCTTTATCGTCGGTTAAATAATCCATGAGTGATTTATTAAGTCCAGAAATAAATCTATTGCAGACAGTAGACTTGTAACCCTATCTTTTATCTATCATAATCTACAACCTAAAGGATTGTTTGATCAGAATAGCTTATACTATTTCCATTTTAGTAAAGTACCATCAAACGATATTATAACAAAAATTCTAAGAATGTTTTGGACAAATGATTACTAGAATGAGTAGTAAATATTTTTCAATATGGAATCATTACCAACGATGCCTTTAGTATTTTCGTCGTTGAGTACGCCTAAAGCCACTGAAGGTAATAAACATGCGAAATACAAGAAAAATGTCGTTGATAATAATTTCCTTTTGGAATGTCGCCCAGACCAGCCTAATAGAGCAATTGACAAGAAGAAAAATTAGTTCATGATAAGCTACTGACTATTTATGTCCACTCTATCTGTTGTAGATTTATTTACCGTCAGTAAAGTCTGATAAATAAAGCGGTAATCGTCGTCTAACATCGCTGACGACGCCATGACCAAATGAACGAACTTCATTTAGAAATTTCTAATTTTAATCAATTAAAATTCTTTAGCTATAATTTCCGTTTCATAAAAAATGAGTAGTGCGGTAAAAGATAACTTTTAATCGATTCTATGCTAGGAATTGTCTTTTTTAGGAACGTACAGTTGAATTAAATTCTACTCTGGGCGATTCTTGTATTGGTGATTGGATCTTGATTAAAGTCCTCGTTCTAGCCGATAATACTTTCTGTAATAAATCGGATATGGTTCAGTTGTTGCTGATAGATTGATAGATAATGCAAAGCACGGGTAATATATTGTACACGAAGAACAATATAGCTAGATTGGGATTCAGCTTACTTTGAATTCTTCATCATTTGTTGCATCCATTAAAATTTGTCGAAATTCTTCGTCTGCAAATACAGTTGCAAACGTTCGAGCCACTTCAACCGCATTTTTAGTTCCTTTCTAAAATTATTTATAACAGCAAGATCTTAATTTATTGGCAATGTAGACGAATCGATCAAAATAAGAAATACTAACTCAACATTTTTAGAACATGTCAAACGTCTTAACTCACCTCTTTAGTCGATGTCAGAATTAAGATGATAAAATTAACTTCTTGACTTGTTGGTCCCAGATTAGTTGGTTCTTTTAGGCGTCCAATAGCGACATGGCGTCCAGTTAAGGTCTGTAATTGGCAGCTAAATTCAAATATTGATTTTAGAAAGAGGCGGTTAAGAGATAGCAATTGATATAATATTCGTTCTAATATGATAAAATTATTAGTTTTAGTATCAATGACTTACAAAGCAACCAAATATTGCTGGGTAATAGCAATACCACCTCCTTCACTGTACTCTGTTCCTTGCATTAGATTTCTAAATTTACACACTATTGATTGAATATTGAATAAAGTAAAAATTATTAACGATAATATTGTATTATGATTGGAGCAGGCTATAACCTGAGAGGTATCAATAAAAATTTTAATCTAGCTATTATGCAAGTATCACTTATATCATAGATTGAAATTATTACTCATGTCAATACCAAATAGAAGCGGAGAGCCAGCTTCTCAAAAATAAACAAGTACCAAACAAGTACGTTAATGAGCATAACTCCATCTATGGATTTTAAGCGAACACAAGTGATTTAATTTGACCCTTTTAAAGATTATGCTACTAATATTTTCAATATCGGTGCTGCAACATGAATCTATTTAATATACTATCATTCTCATAACTATACCTTCTATATCTTTGGATAATAAAGATATTACAGCTTCAGACATGGAACATTGCAGTTGTTCTTTATCAAATAATTTGGTTAACATTTTTTCTACGATACTTTCTAAATCCGTTTGGGCTATATCCAATAGTATTGTTGATTCTGTTAAAAATTTTTCCATATCCATTGTTGCGCGGACTTCCTTCGAAAAATCTTTAAAACGGATTCTCTATAAGGTGATGATTATTTTAAATAGTTGGATAATATGTAGGTTAGTATTTCATGTTCTGTTTAGAATAAAAATCTATTGATGTTATAATAATTTGCTATGATAATCAATATTTCTAGTTGAATAATAATATTGTAATTATTAAAGGAACATTCATTAGATGTTGAGTAAGAGTTCATAATAACACGGAGATATTCCATTTTATGGATAATTTAGAGTAAGCAATAGAGATAAATTCTAGATATAAGTTCATCATGACATGCAGATATTTTATTTTATGAATAATTCTAGATATGAGTTCATAATAACATCAAGACTTTCTATTTTATGAACAATTTAGAATCAACAACCGAAATAGTTCTAAATATGAGTTCACAATATAGTAATTTAGATATTTCATTTCATGATTAATTTGACAATATTGCTATGGATGATGACTCTGCTATCGATCGGCTACTAACATAAGCCAGTAGTGGCTTAGTTCTATTTAACGGATGTTGTAGTTATCAAAAGGACTGTAGTTTTTGTTGATTAACCTACGACAGTTGATGATGGTTTTGTATATCAATCGATTACTAACCTGAACTTGGGTATAAACCAGGGTAGGCTGTGAACATTCAAAACCTATTGACGAGTACAATATATAAGTCCGTTAGAATTCTATAGCCAAGATAGTTCTTTTCAGCCATGATGAATTGGCTCAATTTTAACCAAGGTAAGCTAGGAAATAGAAAAATTGTTCGGCTAATTCTTACCTGAATCGATTCCATTACTATAGCAAGATTCTGATCGACCCCTTCGCTCCTCTAATTCTAACGCTAAGTCTAGACTTACAGCAGCCAATTGGCGTGAGGTTGGTGGTATACCTAATTTCGAATTCTTTCTTTTACCATTGCCATTATCGTAGTCATATTTTCTAGCCAGGATATCTAGACTCCGATGATATGAGGGAGAATTATGATGAGATATGCAGATAGAAGCTGCACGTACTCGCGGCGCTGTTGACAAAGTTATAACCTATAGCCAGATTGAGTAATAGAAAACGATCAGCATAGATACAGATTAACAACTGGTATGATGTTAACAGTATCTAAGATCTATCCAATATCATCAATATGAGGACAGAATGAAGCACTAAACTAAATCAAGCACGGAAATTGGGTTCTGTAACATAGGAATTGCTTTAGCAATCTCCCTACTTTGCCATGTTCAATTCTCATCTTGATATCGTGACTAAAATTATCGATTTCTGCCTACTTTTCAAAAGTTAGCAATGGAGTGAGAGATTGATGGCAATTAGCAGGTTAAAAGCTAGGGTACATCTGTATTTCAACAAGATCAATCCGTGAGGTAAAAGTGAAAATACTTCTTTCAATTAACCGTACAAATTATACAATTATTCCAGTAAGATCAATTCATTATAAGCTATTTCGTAAATTTTTCTTTCACAAGCAGTATATTGAAATTGTCTCTGTCAGTACAGTTCAGATATCTCAATCAAATTTGGCTATTAACTTGTCCATATTAAGGGATAATAGTGAACAATAATTTCCAATTTGTTCACTTGCAAAAGGCACTGGTAACAGTCTGGTAGATTTAGAAAAAAATTGAAAGCTACGGTTAGAGAGATTCGCTTTAGTTCAATACTGATTCCTATATGTAGCAATCAACCATTGCCACGTACTCCTACAGATACCAAATTGCTTAGAAAGGGTATTTGAAAGTATTCACAATAACAAATTGAAAATATCCACTTTTGATTCCAATGAAATTGTTAATATGTAATTTCTTTTATAATAACGGATCATGATTACATGGGCATGGGATCGTTATGATATTACTGATTTATGAAAAACATTTTTAGTATTGAGACACAGCTTGTTATATAATTATGATTAGGGTATAGAAGATCTCAGAAATTCTAAGAGTAATGTAATAAACATGATGCAATGTTAGTTTTATTCATGTCTACTTAATAGAAATAAAATAATTTGTGTTACAAGGGGATCTTACAAAAATTCATCGAGGTTCGTCTAGCGCTGAATCGTAGCATAATAAACTGATTTCTGAATATAACCATAAGATGACTTATCATCAGGACCCTTGAAGATATTAGTCATAAAAAGAACGGAAATTCAACTATAACTGGCGTCATAAATTGATGCGTATTGTAATATGGTTAATGCGGAAGGAGAAATACTTATAAATTGAAATCTTTATGCCGTCGAAAATATTATGTTCACTGCATACGTGTAGCTATTCCTATTCTGTTTTTATTCTAGTGAGACAGAGATCAAGAAATTGATGTCATATTGTAACTTGATAAGATATTACTATCCATTTCTAACGAAAGTTATGGATGTTTTTCAATCTTGATCAGGCTACTTCATCTAAAAGTATGAAAGCAAAACTTTCAAATGAAGATTATGGCAAGTATTGATCATCCCTTAATTGTACATGTGTGATTAATGAAACTAGTACCTAGAGATTGTTCTCACCCCCATTTTTGTACTGGAAGGACTGAGATCAAGGAATTGATGTCAAACTCGGATTACGACATTAATGTCCTCTCCGAACGAAAGTTTATGATTTTTTATTCTAGATTAGGATACTTGATCTTAAGCCATAGAAGAAAAGTGTTTAAAATGAAAACTATGGTACTATGATCATTCGCTAACTGGACATGTGTGATGCATCAAACGGGTACCCAGGGCAAAAATCTTGTACGTTTGCAATCCCTAATGATTGTGCTAATCCTATTTTCATGGCGGAAGGACAAAAATCAAGAAATTGATATCATTTTAAAGACGTTAATATCCATTTCTGACGAACGTTACTAATGTTTTTCAGTCTTGATCAATATACATTATCTAACCATAAAAGTAAAACGTTCGAAATGATGATTATGGATACTTCGTTAAACATACGGATGTGATTAATGAAACGGGTAACTACTGATTATTCCTATTCTGTTTTTATGCCGGAAGGACAGAGATCAAGAAGTTGATGTAATATTATGACTTGAAGGATATTACTGTCCATTCTTAATAAAAATGATTGATGCTCTTTCAATCTCAATCAGGATACTTCTTTTAAAGCCATGAAAGCAATGTGCTTAAATTGGTGATATCATAGGTATATTCATCGTTAAAATCGATAACTATAGTACGTGAAATATTGAATGGCATACAGTAGTTTAATATTTTTGCCCTGTCATACCATAAATTACCGTATGTTGGGTAATTATTTCTGAAATCAGTAAGTAAAGGAATTAACCACTAAATCGAGAGAACAATTGCTTATAAATTTGCTGCCGGATGAATTTTGTTATTTCTGAAAAATTTCTATCAGTTAGTAAAGAAATTAGGTGCTAAATTGGCAGAGCGATTGCTTTCAATATATCGACTAGATAAATTTTGTTAGGTAATTATTTCTAAAAATGTCTATCAGTTAGTAAAGAAATTAAACGTTAAATCCACTGAACCATGGCTTATGAATTTATCGATTAGATAGATTTTGTTGGGTAATTGTTCCTGAAATATTTCTATCAATTAGTAAAGAGATTATACGCTAAATCGACGGAACGATAACTTATAGTTTACCGACCACATCAATTTTGTTGTTTCTGAAAAATTTTTTATCAGCTAGAAAAGAAATTAAGCGCTCAATCGGTAGAACGGTTGCTTATAAATTCATCGACTTTTTCATCGGTAATAAAAAAAAGTTCAAGAAAATAAATCGATGGACAGTCTATTATGAAAAGTAGATATATATGTAATAGAGTGGATGAAAAAAAGATACGAAATAAAAAAATCAGTAAAGCCTTGCTTTAGAAACGTACTAAAAATGGTAGCAGGTTAATTCTAGATTAAAATATTCAAGATCTTATTAAATTATTTGATTACATCGCTTTTCTTGATTATATTTGAGAAATAGAATACAATTAGAAAATGAAATAGCTAACAAATAGACTACCGCTGTTTCATTCCGGAGTGATTCGACATCAAGATCATATGGCGATCCAATATCGGCATTAATGAATATTTCTAATGAAATGAAAATCGTATCCTTATCGTAGGTGCAGTACAATTATCTAAGTAAAAATAACGATTCAAATACCTTTTACAGCGGATATAATTGAAATAAAACAAGCGATACAATATTCAATTTGCAAATTAATTATTATAATATCAATGTTATAATTTTATCCACCACCACTGAAAAAAATGTCCTTTACACGTCGTGATTAATTGAATAACTGGTTTAAAAATTAGACGTAGGCACCTTGAAAACAAGGCCTTGATTTATTCAGTTTCCTTCAATTATAGATTCAAAATTCAATTTTTCCGTGCAATAACGTTTATTTTGTTGCTGCTCTATTGCTAAGGTTGATTACCCCCTAAAACCGATAGGGTTACGTACTCGTATATATATATATTTATTTAAGGGTATTAATTTTTTTTTTATATTCTTGAATCTTGCATTGCTGTTATTTATTACTACAGCTAGTTTCATAACCTAGAAGAGAAAAACGTTAAGATATTGCTACTTTGGTACTGTTTGAGAGCCGTTTTGTTATATATTTCTTTCATTATTCCGATCAAAAGTACTTCATAAGTTATAAAAATAAAAACTAGACGCTGGTAGTCTACCTGGATAACCAATTTGATGTTATGTGCGTGTTACTGATTTAATATTAATCAATTATACACGAAAAATATGATGAAAATAACAAGTGACATGATTGGATCCCATGGATATACCTAGTTCTAATGACGTACCGTAAATTATAGAATCAATAAACAGCTGGAGGGAGATATATCTACTAACTACATATCCAATATTGCTAATATGAGCAGACAGAACAGCCACAGCAGGGTAATTCATTTCTGCTCATTCATTATATATATAATTATTCGAGTTAGCTTCCCGAATATATCAGTTTATCATACCTATGTAGCACTCATTAATTATATTATTGCGATGGCCATTTGCTATTTGTTTATCCTTGCATTTGACAAATCTATTGTGTTCAATATTGGTTTTTAATACTCCAAGATGACTATAAGTCAATTTTCTGTCGTTAATGGTCCAAATAATCATATTCTATTTTGCTAATTTGACTGTTTGATGCTATCGAATTCAATAACTTAATAATAACAACAATTATATGATAATTAGTATTTCCAGATGTAAATCAAGGGGAATTTTTATACTCAAATTGATTCAACTTAGGTTCTGGCACGAGTATTTGCCTATCTATGAGGATACTCATTATATTCATACCGATGATAACTTTTATAACTTGAATAAGAAAGTTACTGTGTCTAATTTTTAAGTTAATCTTGCCTTCTATGTAATAGGATGATAATTTAATGGAGTTTTTATAAATAGCAGCGAATCAATTGAAAAAAAAGTATAAATGAAGGTATTGATCAACTGCAGTAGTTATAATCTGTTATTGATATAGTCAATGAAGGTAAGACTTTCACAATACAAATTGCGATGAAATTTTATAAATAAATAATGAAAGGCAAGGTCGATATTGAGGAATAATATCGTCCTACGTGAGAAGCAGGAATAGCTGAAGGCTATCTGATTCTAAATGTAATGATCATGATCAGAAAAGCAATGATCAACGTTTAAGAGAGATAACGGTTCTATATCGGAATCAAGGGCTTCCAAGATTAACTGATGATTCTAAAAGTGATTATGATAATCGGAAACGAGATGATATCGAGAGTTATAACTGTTTTTACCTGTAGTCAAAATCGTCAAATAGGACTAATCGCTGTCTGAAAACAATAGCCTTTAAAATCTGAAAAATTACAAGGCCATCAAAATTACTGATTATCAACCAACTCTTAAAATAACCGCGAAGACCTATCACTTACATAACCAAATCCTGATGAAATACCGGAAAGAAATGTTAAACGCTGATTTTATTTGTTTCCCCCAAAAATTCTAAAATTGACATATAACCTACCACTTCATCAGATTATTGAAGATGCTTTCTCATGTCAAATAATTGATTATGGATAGGCGAATCCATAGCTTAGATATGATAATTTCCAGATTTTGGCATAAAATTAATCGATCGATTTACACATTACGGTAGTACTTGTAGTTTAAATTGATCCTGAGCTATATCATTCTATAATAGATGGCCACGTTTCTTAATGGTTATCGTCAATTGAATAGGCACTCTAGCTTAGAATTAGTATTTCACCACGTCAATCATGCTCAAGTCGAATTTACCTAATAGTATTGCATTACCTAAAACCATTTTAGCTTCATAAGGCAATAGATTAAGTGAGTGAGTGAAAGGAATTTCCGGTAGTTTAATACTTCTGAATTCACTTTTCTCCTCTTTTTCTACCAACAGAGTCAGCTGCTCTATTTAACGTTTCTTTGCTCAATAATTTATACTATTCAAGATGATGTAATGTAGTATTATTCGTCCGTCTTATTATTTTTCTCTGATCTCGACAACGCGTTGATATTCCTTTTTTCTACTACCAATAGTCTTGGCAAAACTTGATCCGGTAAAGCTTAAACTCTCAATAATGCCAATGGTTTTACCCATATGTCATCTATATGGAAGCCTATCTAAATACTCGTTGTTTTAATTATTTTACGCGATGGTGCCGGTATAACAATGGTGTAAAAATGGAAATTTTTGCTGTTTAAGTTATGCCATCGAATAATACTAGCAGTGAAAACGTAAAAATCTCTTTCATCTATTCATGATGTTAAATAGACATGAAAAGCCATCGCGTTTTCTATAACATTATATACGTATTCCGCATACCATTCAGCTTATAAGCTTGAATTCTTGTTCATATGAGTCTTAATATCTTAACTTGCAAGTCTATCTCTGGTTTATTGATTCGTCACTTCATCAAATATTGCCTACGGCTCGCCAAAGTACACCATTCATTTTATAGACCGGAGGCTCATGTCCTCCATTCTTAGTTACTTAAAAGGATGAAATAAAGTGCATAGAGAATGAGCCATGAATGCAGATGGGGTAGAGGATCGATCGATAAAGCTTAATGATTTCGCAATCAATTTCTCTTCTGCTTAATCATTTTGCTTTGATTGATTAATTGTTGGTATAATAAAGAATTGATGTCGAAAATACTCGTAGAACTAACATTTTTTAATAGGACTGGATTGTTCAATTTTTATTAATCGTAATTACTATACACAAAGCTACAGTATTTAGCACATGTTTTAAAATGTAATTTCCCATCATTGAACGAGTCGATAAAAAACTAGACAGAAGCATCTATTTGACCTAGGTAATTCGATATTGATGTTGCAATAGGTCTACTCCTCAACCCATTCTAGTTTTTGATATAATTTGTCTTCCAATAAGATTGGAAGTAGCTTATTTAATATTAGATGTCTAGAACGAAAGCTAAATTCTCCTTATTTATTGTTACAGTAATTAGTGACTCATTCAAGACGGTAATAAACAAAACGTGATGGCAAGGGAAAG